CTTGAAGGGCAATTTTAAAAAAAAAAAAGGAGGAAGTGTTTAGGGTTTTTAATAGATATTTAAAAATAGATCTGTATTCAGGACATGGTTTAGTGGTCATGGTAGTGTGGAGTTGATGGTTGGACTTGATCTTTGAAGTCTTTTCCAACCTTCATGATTCTACGATATAAAGAATATTTTTTTTAAAGCCCAGGAGGGAATTGTTGAGACAAAGGATGTCATTGTAAGAGATTCAGCCTCCTGAATTAGAGGGTTTTCCAATTAGCATCTGAAGTGGTTGGAGGTCCAGGAAGAACCATCATCTCTGACAGTTCTGGGGTTTGACAGTTCTGGGGTTTGACAGTTCTGGGGTTTGACAGTTCTGATGTCTTCTCATTTTTCCTCCTGTAGCAGAAATGATCTTTAATAGGGCTGGGGTCTGGACCCTTTTAGTGCTTTTTACACTATCCTTAGGAAAAAAAAAAGAAATATAAAAAAGAAGGCATTTGCCATATTCTTCTTACGAAGGGATGCGGAAGCTTTTTTGTTGTGGTTTTTTTTATTGTTTAATACTCTTCTTGTCAGGCCTATATAAAAAGAAGTAGGTTCATCCTTTACCCAGCCATAAAGCACTGAGGTGTTAAAGGTTTGGTGTATCTGTAGTGACGGCAGCGCCGTGCCCTGGCTGCTCTGGGCAGGGAGCAAGGCCTGGGCTAGGAGCCGTTATTTTTACCCAATTTCCCAAGCTGGGTTTGCAACGCAGGTTTTGTACAGTGTGTGCTTTGAAATCCAGAGACATCTTGGGTTTATACTGTTTTGTTCCCCCTCTGTGAGTTGTACCAGCAGGCTATAAATAACTCCTGTCAGTGGAAGTTGCCTTTCCCCTGCTGTTGCGGTGCCGAGAGGAGGGGCCCGTGTCCCTTCAGCTTCTGCTGCTCTGGGTGGTGTTCAGCCTCCGTGCACAACACTGTGTGTGTGGAGGGACCCTGGCCACGCACCTGAGTGGGCAGGAGACCAAAGTATCAAGAAATAATTGTTAAATCAGTAAATTTAAATTTTTCAGATGGAATTGGGGTCATTAAGCTGGAAGAAAATTCCATTCATTAAGTCCATTGAGCCTCAGCTACATTTTGAGATTGTCAAGTAGTCCTGTAGTGTCCAACCAATATTTTTATAATAAAGTTTTTTCTGTATGATGCTTTGTGTCAGAGTGGTTTCTGATACAGTGTGATACGTCATACTCAAAACCGTTACTGAAATGAAATCTCTTGCCAGGTGATAGTAGAAACACTACATGAAAATGAACAGTATCTTTAGAAAAATCAGGTGTGATTTTGACTTTAGGCTTGTCTTTGAAATTTACTGTCCTGTTATGCAGCAGTAGGACTTCCAGTATCTCTGGCTGCAGCCAGGCTTTGAGGAAGAGGTGGTGAGGAGGAAGTTCTTGCAACACATAGTGCAGGAGAGGCAATGGCACCTCAAAGGTGTAAAGCATTTTAGAGATGGTGTAGGACAGCAGTGAGTTACTTAGTGGCCTATCAAGTTGCTCTAATTATATTTAGAGTTTTTGTTTGAGAGTGGCATCAATGAAAAATACCCAGCACAGAGACCTGATAAGAATATTAGTATTCATTTTAAAACTTGTCACGTGACCTGTTTGTGAGCTTCCTCATTCTTTTCGTTTGAAAGAATACTTATACATACAAGTTCTGGCTGTTTGATGACTCAGTAGGAAGTGAGAGAGTCGGTGTAAACCACAGTGAAATGGAGAAGAAACTATATATGGTAAAACTTCTAACGTATGTGGTCTTGCACACAGGCAAGCTAAGGAGCTCTTTGTAAAACATTCTGAATGCATATCAAATGCTTGCAAAAATGAATGATGAAGAGCTCTTCCTTACAGAGATGTGTAAATTCATGAGTCTTGGTGTTACTGTTCCAGACACGGCGTATGCTGAGCACTGGACTGAAATTGTTTGGTAGTTGTTCCAAGAGGTGTGCACAATAGGGGATGGAAGGGGAACAAGTGCACGATACTTACATTTTATTAGAAGGTTTCAAACTGAGACTGAAAGGAACAAGGAATAATTAATGTCTGGCACTGGAAAAGGGAAGTTGTGTTCCCAAGTGCTGCAGTTCATAACACTTAACTGAAGATTTTGGAGGATCTGTGAGGAAGGGAGAAGCATCTTATGTTACTTGTACCCCTTCAAAAATCTAGAATTGTTCAAGATGCATTACGTGGATACATTTGTGTTTCTTAGGTGCATTTACCTGCTGGTACTTTTACCAAGTCTAGTTCTTAGGCCATAGTGTCCAATGTTAGGTGCTCGTGAACCTGCTGAAACAGTGCCACATCCGGGAGGGCAGTACAGTGGGGATGCTCTCTCCATAGGCAAGCTGACAGACAGGGCTGACCTGTTCTCATCTTCACCAAATTTTCATGTAGCCTGGGGGGGTAAATTTAAAATTTGAAGGGGAAGAGACAGACTTAAAATGCTGCCTCCTCTATCTACTGTTGAATTTAGGAAGCTTTGTAAAAATGTTGGGTTTAATGCTTTCTGTTTTGGTCAGAAAGAGGTGGGTAACAGAGTGTGAATGTCCAAGCTTGATTTTGGTCATTGTAGTTCACGTAGATTAAGTGTGGTTTTAACTGTGTTTTAGGCTGGTTGGAGAAATTATAGTCTGCTTTTAACATCTGGGATCTATTAATTACCAACATTGTTAACTACTTGGGAAGGTGTGTCAAGGCTTTAACACTGAAAGGGACAGGAAGTTACTATTATAGTTCAGATAGTAAGAACTTAGAATAGTATTTTTGTAGGTCTGGATTTTCTGGGTCAGCACAGTTGTATGGGGTTTCAAGAGGTATTTTTAAGGTCGGCCAAGAGGTACTTAGTGATTTTGTGCGGTAGTCATTTTGGTCACGTATCTCAGTGGTCACTGTATAAATCTCAGGTTTGTATTTTCCCAGTTGTCAGGATTTAGAAGCTTCTTGAAGGGGTTTTTCAGTAGCTTGAGTTGTAAAGATTCATTTAGATGTCTTGTTACTTCTGTTGACCAGTGTGGCTGGTGATGACTGGCAGAGAAGTTGCTTCATGCTGGGGGAAGGGAAAGGAGGAAAAGCTGTAAGCCAATATATGTGTGTAGAGGTAAGTGGGCTACCTGGAGGTATAAAACTTCTGGTAAAGTCTTCTGGTGTATTCAGATAGTGTGATCCAGAGATGCTTGTGGCTACTCTTTGCTTTCTCTAGCAGCAGTGCATTCTTGAATACACAGATAAGATCTCTGTGACTCCCAGGTACTTCTGGCCTTATTAGAAGAAAAAGAGTTGATAAGCACGTGCCTTTGAGGAGAACTCAGGATTGAAGCAGAATGAGTGGAGTGAGTTGTATACACAGTGTCATTCTTCAGGTATTCCAAACATCTCTGCCTTTGCAGACAGCAAGCACTGAGTGGGTGAAAGAAATGAGGGTCACAAAGAGCAAAAGAGCTTCCTGCCCCCTGCCAATTTAATTAAAATCTCTCTTGGCTCTTTGTGTAACTGGCTTTCTAAATTTCTTTCCAAAACAGGTGCCCATTCTGCTGCAGTAAGGTGAAGAATGTAGAGCACTAGAAAATGACAGTTCATGTTAGTGTAAGGGCAGAACTCTCCTCAGCTGCAATTAGCTCTACTCTTTGCTCTGACAGTTGTTTCAGTGGCAGCCTTCAGACTTTGCTGCAGAAAACTCCAGTGAAGGTTTTGGAACTTCCTTCAGATGGCTTTTAATACAACCTGAAGTGGATAACTTAGGTTTGGGGGCAGGGCCCCGAGGAGGCTGTGGACTGTCTGTGCTTGGAGACTTCCAACATTCAACTGGTCAAAGCCCTGAGCAGCCTGGTCTGAATCCAGTGTTGGCTGCTTTGAGCCTGGGGTTGGACAGGACAGCTCCTGAGGCTCCCTCCAGCCTGAATGATCCCCTGTTACTGCTGTTACCTCTGCACGGTTGAGTCATTTTGCAGATGAAAATGTGTGATGTTTAGATTGGGACGGCAGGATTTTGTTCTGGCATGCTGATACAGCACAGTGCCCAAAGTATGCATCAAAAAAAAAAGAGCAGCTTGCCCTGAATGGCCGGCAGGCAGAATGTCAGGATGTGTGGGTGAGTAGGATAGCTGAAGAGCATGAGTTGTAGATCCCCATTACCTAAAATTGTAACTTCTTGCTGGCACATTTAAAGTTCTTGTTTTACAACTGGGCTTCCTCTAGTGACTATATATTTATTTTTGTTATGCTCAGTTAATCCTCACTGTTTTCTGTGTATACTATCTTGGGACCCAGTGTTACAAAGCTTCCTTTAGTACATATTTGGGTAAACTCCACTCTTTCAGTGTATCCTGTTTGGTGTGAGCTGCCATCAGCTGAGCTGGTGTTGGTTGTGCTTTTGGTTTTAGAAGTGTTTACTGCAAACTCATATTTTTATCTTTACAAAGGAATCCTGGAAATTATGAAACTCTGAGAAATCCATCTGAGTTGCACAGACTGTCTGCTAGTTCACTGTTGAACACTCTTTGTAACAGCATAACACCTGAATTCACAAGGTTTAGTTTTATTCATTATGCTACTGTGTGCTCTAATTGGAGAGGTGATTTAATTTGGTCTCATTGGGTACTCGTTGTATGGTGATCCATTACACAATGATGGGTTTCAGGTTGCTAGAGAACTCTGTTATAGAGTGGCAGGAAATACACATTCAGACAACAGACTCCTTTGCACCTCTGAATATACTTAGTGCCTTTAATACTGTTTCTCAAAAATCTGGCAGTCTGGTTCAGAAAACATTCTGAAAAAAATGCTTTAATTCAGTTTTATAGAGCTATGCGTCATCTGAAATGTGTAAAACTGACTGGAAAGTATAAATCCAATTTGGTTTCCAGTTGGACACATGCTCGCAAATTTGGGCTTTTTTTACCCCAAACCAGGTTTCTATTGGTAAACAAAAGTACTGCATGTTGTAATGAAATTATTTCTTCCCTTTCAGTTTGTGAAATGTGGCTATGCAGGCTCAAATTTTCCGGAGCACATTTTTCCAGCTTTGGTTGGAAGACCCATTATAAGATCAACTGCTAAAGTGGGAAACATTGAAATCAAGGTAAATTTTTTTTTCCATTATTATTCTTTTCTGACATATAAAAACATTTAGGGTATCCTTTGACTTACATAGTATCTGGAGATGCTTTTTCCTTAACTCCCTTTAATGCTGTTTCAGTATCTCTTGATTCACTTCTGCATTGGGTTTTAGCCTGTCACAGATTACAAAGTTCTTAAGAGGGTAATCTAAAGCACTGGAGGCCTTCAGGTGGTACAGCTGAGGAGGCAGCAGGTAGGGCTTAAGTGGTTCTGGGCAAAAAAAGGCTTTAGATGCCAGTCTGTAAACGATGTCAAGATTAGAAGGCAGAAATTGGACAGAACTGGTTTATGTTTGTCACCAGGAGTCTGAGACAGTGCCAAAGAACTGCTGGAGCTTCCAGCACTTTTTATACTGTTTGCTCTCTACTCACAGTTATCATCCATGATCCTGTGAGAGATGTTTAACTTTGGCTGTGTTTGCATTTCATTGTTCCTATTGTTTTTTGTTTTCTTTTTGCTGTTGATAGATGTAAGTACTCCACACCCAGTTAGAGATGGAGAGGCTGTGTTCAGGCTACTTCACCTTGAGATGTTATTCCAAGCTTGGAATGGGAGGGGACCACTGTTTGAGAATCACTTTCTGAAGTCTGGGGAGCTATCATTTCTCACTTTTTGTAATTACTGAGTAACACTTCAGATGTTAGTAGTTGCTCCTGCAGTACAGTGCTCAGGAAGTGTCTTGGCCCTGCTATGGTCACATCTCCACTTCCTGCTTCTAGCCACATGTTCTCACCTTGTGTTGGTCATACTGCTTGTGTGGTTGTGGTGAGGCACTTCAGTGAACTGATCCAGCTGAAACAGTGATTTCTTTGTCAGGTAAAGTTCTGTCTGCCTTACTAGACAATTGTGTGAGCTCCAGTTTGAGAGCAAGGCAGAAGTAGGAACTTGAGGCAGAAGCAGAAGGCAATGCAGAATTGTAGAAGCTTCACTTAAGCCAGTGAAGGTCAAGTAGAACCACACATGTACTGGCTTTCAATTTTGCTCTTCCTGTTGCTTCTAAGCAGGAGCTTAGTAAAAAGGAAAAAAAAACTGCAGAGCCTTGTTCCTTATTTTCATAACTCTGTGGGTGACAAGCAGAACTTCAGTGATCTGGTTTCTGCTGCTGCCTCTAAAAAACAGTATGAGCAGGAGGTCATACTGGGAAGTCAAAAGGTTGAAAGACATCAGACCTTTCCAAAGTGCTGGTTTTTTTTTGTTTGTTTGTTTGTTTTGGTTTTTTTAATGTTTTTGTTGCAATCCTTGTTACCTTGTCTCAGCTGGGACAATTTGGTTGAAAGGATGGAGAACTTTCCCTTTCACAGTGGATGAGAGTTTTTGTAAGGAAAGGGGAAACATCTTCCTTTCTCTTGCAAGACCTGGGGAGAGGTGTTTCTTTGAGTATCTGCTTGTACTTGATGTGACAGTTTCTTCAAGGATGTCCTGGTTAACTTTTATGAAAGTTATGTAGCAATTTACAAGTCTTAAGTCCAAGAAAAATTCTGTTGCATGAAATCTCGTTGTTGAAGTCATTTTTTCTTTCTAGCTGATCTGATACAGCCTGTCCTGCCAGTTTTGGTATCCTCTGATTATCTGATAACTTAGTTTTATATCATCACAGATGACAGTGTTGAATTGGAGAGGTGGGGTAGAAGTGGGTAGTTGCTATGCGATCAGTGCAAAAGAGCCAGTAAACTATATTTTTTTTTTTGTGCATTGCCTGTCTTCTGCTTGAGCGTGGATCACACAGATGTACTTTAGAGTATAAACTGTGTCTAGATTCTTCCTGGAAGTTTTATAGCATCTACCTGTAATAGCTTGTCACTCTTTCTTAAGGAAACAGTGTGTCAAGAGAAGAAATCCCTGCCACAGATACTTTGGGTATCCTGGTAGGATAGAATAAAGTAGGAAGACTTGTTAAGTGTGAGTGCTGTTTTTCTTTGCAAGATTTTTGCAGATTTCCTAAAAAAAAAAATGCATTGTAGCAGATGAGTTTTATGCCAAAATTTAATTCAAGCCATGCACTGCAAGTTCTTATGGGATAAGTATAAAGCTGAGTAAGGGAAGCTGGCAAGAAGATTATCAGTTTAAGTTTTCAAAACTATTCAGAAAAGCTGTCATTCCTGTGAAATCCAGAAACTCTGTGAAAAGAATCTGGAAGCTGGTTAAAACAGTGGTTATCATCTAGCTGTTGAGTTATCCATCTCAAGTTGCTTTGTCCATGTTTTCCTCTGGACTCTCATCTCAGCCAGCAGCAGGGATGGCGCTTTTTCTCCTACTTGGAGTCAGGACAGAAGCTCAGTTACTACTGGGATTATTTTGCTTAAAACTGCAACCTTAAAACTCTTAAGACCAGAAGCATAGATGCTGCTGTTGGCTTTTACTGACTTACTAATCCGTGCAGCAGGTTTGGGAGTTTATAACCTTCTTAGCAAGGCAGGACTGATGAGTAGATTTGACTAGTTAAAAAAACCCTAGAATTTTAGGGCAGATCAGACCCTGCTGAGCCGTGGTCTGTGCCTTACAGTTCTGCTTAGTTTCTGCCCGAGACAGCCTGGAGAAGGTCATTCTCTGGATTTGAAGAGAGGAGGAGGGTCGTGCTGTGACCAGCCTCTTTGGTACTGCCCACGCAAGGGCAGCTGCCAGGAGCTCTGCACACTTCTCCTCTGACACAACCTGCAGAATAAGTAGATTTGCCCTGGTGGTGCTGGTAGTTATCCTGTGGCTTATGACAGCTTGGGTGACTCAAAGTGAATCTAATTGAAGGAGGAAAAACCTCAATCAACATGGAAATGGCTTTAGTATTATTTTGGACAATGTCCACGTGCACTTCAAATATCTTATAGTGCTTCCTTTAATTATCTCATCTTCATACCTCCATAGCTTGCTATAGGGAAAAAAAAGCTTTGAGACTACTGCACTTCATGATTGCTTATTTCCATTTTGGGGGTAGATGCTATAATTTAAGTAAATATCTCTTATTCCTTTGGGACATTTGTAAAATGATACATAAAAAGATTAGCCTGCTTCTAGCTGAATGCTTTTATGTTATAGTTTTCAGTTCTTGGCTATTTGAAAGGGATTTTTTTAACACCAAAATTTAAATTCAGCCTTTGTCAGAGGTAGTTATGGCCAAATGCCTTGGGCAGAGTCTCGTTTAGTTCAGATAAACGCCTTGCCCAGGATAAAACTCCAGCATTGCAGAATTATGCACAGAATCCTTTACGTGAGAAATAGGCAGATAACACTGAACTCGTTTGCAACCTAAGATGCATAAACATGACACGCTTCTGACACGCAGCAGTAGCTCCCTTTAAACAGACATTTTAATCTGGGATCCTAAGAACGTTAGTTTGGCCCTAACTTCACTAACGTGGATCATTTCCTGCTGTACATGCATCTCTTCTCAGCCTGTTTCTACTGTGTACTTAATTTGAGAATTTCATTTAGGCCTTTTCTGACTTTCTTGCTTCTACCTTCTTTCTTCACCTTTCTTGACCCGTTGAAGTAGAATAACAAAAGGATGGTAAGTGAGGTGCCCCTCTGCTGTTTGTTTACCATGTTTGCTTGATGGGACCCGGTAGCTGCCATGTTATTTTTTGATGCTACTCATTGTTTTGTCTTGTCCTACATTTTACATTTGAAGACATACTTATTTTGGGCATTGTTCATTGCTTGGGTTTACTAGCAACTAATTTAAGAGAATATTTTATGTATTGCTTCTAAGTGCTACCTAACCTCTAGTTTTGCAAGATGTAAGAATAACTCTTAAAGATCAACGTGAGCTCTCTTTAACAGTAGGAATTGCTATATTTAACGCTACAAAACAAGAACTTGAAGAAACTTTCAGATTTCAGTTAGAAAAGTTTTCTGAGTCCTAGAGTGGTGGAAATATTGAATGTCATGATTGATACAAGTTCATCTCTGCAAATTCAGTTGTGCTGCCCTTCCTCTTCACCTACCAAGTGCGCATGTTTGTAGAGTAACAGTAAATCCCTTGAGAACAATTGTTCTGCCCTTTCACATCCTTTTAAAACAAAGTTAAAGTTCAGTGCAACTTTCATTGCACATTTGAATAGCAGCTCTTCCTGGGTTATGTCCTGTTAGGCAGCCCAGAGCCTCAAAGAGCAGTACACAGAAAAGCCTTCTGATTCTTCTAACTGGTGGTGGTTTTGTACCTTAAATTCTCAGGAGTAACATAGCTGTGGTGAAGTTTTCATAGTATGGTTTCACCAGACTACATTTAAAATTTTAATTTAAAATGTTTAGAGCCTTGATTTCTGTCTTCTCTAAGGAGATCTAGTCTTCAAGGGAAAACAAAATACCTGGTCAGGGAGAGGGGTTGGAAGAGGAATGGTTTGATTTAAACTTCTTTCAATTAACTTCCTTGTTATGTAGTCAAGAGTAATCGTTTAGGTTACTTCTTCAAAAAGACATTAAAAGCTGGATGCTGGATTTTTCACTGCACACCTTTTTTCCCTAGTATTGAACAGTAGGTCGAGTAACCCTCACTTCAAAGTGTTCTGTGCCACAGTAACTGCAAACTGCAGTGCTCTATTTTTGCATGAAGCAGCTGGGGGTTTTGCAAAGGCATGAATAGAATATTAGTATGGAAACAGTGCTGTTGGTACCTAGAAATATGTTTTTATAGGCTAAATGTGAGCAAGTCAGTTGAGGCTTCTTTGGAAAAGTTGGGGCTATAGTAGGGAGCAAAGATAAGATGTTACTGTGCATACTTCCTCTGGGAAAGACGTGGGAAAGGAGAAGACTTGATGCTACTAATTTGAATGTGCAATGTTTGCATAACTAACTTTAATAAACAGATTGCTTAATCCGTGTCAAATGACTATACAAACTATGCATTGGTTGTACTTGTAAGAATGCATTACTGGGGTTTTTGGCTTGGGACTTCTGGCATGGAACAGACAAGGGTATATTTTATATTTAGATGTGTCTCTTTACACCCTACTGACACAGGCAATATGTAAACCATTGTTTCTTTCAATGTTTGGTGTGGAACTTACAATCTCTTATTTGCTTTTGCTACTGTTCAGTATGCTTATTCACCACTCATTATTCCTGTTTTGGTATCGTCCACAGAAATTTGCAACATGCATGGAAAAATACTCTGCTGATCCCACCTACTACCCTTATGTGCTAATTTGCATCTCGGCCTTTTGAAATTAGTATTTGATAACAGAATTTTGGAGGTGTCAGTGGAGAAACATCTGCACTTATAAAGGTCTTTGTGGTATCTAGCTGTAGTAGGGTTTATTGGTTTGTTTGAGCTTAATTGGAGAATGGAATGAACAGTGTTTATTTTGGAAAAGGTTTGGGATGGGTTACAACCAAATTTAAATACTACATGAAAGATATTCTACTTTTCTCCTAAATACCTGAAAATGATTCTAAAATGTAGGTGTTGGAACACAGGTTGGAGCAGTTCACTGTCATTCTTGAGGACTTTGGTGTTTGGAAGACTCTGCAGGCACTGACACGTTCCTCTGTTCCCATTTGGCAGGATCTCATGGTGGGTGATGAAGCGAGTGAGCTGCGCTCCATGCTGGAAGTGAACTATCCGATGGAGAATGGCATAGTGCGGAACTGGGATGACATGAAACACCTCTGGGATTACACATTTGGACCAGAAAAACTTAATATTGACACAAAAAATTGTAAAATACTACTCACAGAACCTCCCATGAATCCAACTAAAAACAGAGAGAAGATCGTGGAGGTATGTCTGTCTAGTAGAAACTGATATACACTGTCATTGAAGCACCACTAAGAGATTTTAACTTCTTGGAACACCTGGTAACTGTCTGTGGCAGAGGAGTTCTCCTGCTTTCTAACCCAAACTCATCCTCAGCCACAGCTGTGAAGGCTACTGTGGTTAAATTCAAACAAGCAGACCTCATTTCAAAGCTATAAGCAGGGTGTTTGTTGTAAGCCATATCACCAGTAAGACACAGAATTGGCAATATGTGTTTATCTTTGTGTATTTAAGATACATTGTTTGCTAACTATTGGATGATTGTTAATTACTTTAAATGACTTGAACTTCTGTAAGCCAGTAACAGTTCAGAGGAGATTTGGGCTTGAGCAAGATGATGCTTACCAAATGGAGCAGGGTTGTTGGAAGTAGCTGAGCAAAGGTGTGACGACAACCAATTCACTAACCTTTGATTAATGCTAGGGATTATCAATGAAAGCCGTCTAAGGAGGAAGGCCTGATTCTTGGATCCTTGATCTCACAGAGCTTTCCTGGGCGACCTAAGCTTGATCTGAACCTTGCTTTAATGTGGGTTGTCAGATGTGTATTGTTTAGCTCTAATATGTGACAAGACTGGATTTTGAAGAGCAGTAATATTTGATGAGAACAGAAAGTTATCTTTTTCCCTAAAGCATCATAGGTATTTTCAGTTACTGTAAATGTTCAGTATAACAAAAATGTAATTTAAAAAATGTGTTGTTAGAGGAGCTGATAGGGCAGAAAAAATGGATCCTAAGTCTGAAACCTTATCCATTTATCAGAACTTGGAATATGAAAGCTTATGTGTATGTATTTTTTCTCAGATCTGTTGCTTAGTCTAGTAAGGATTTCCCTTTGTCATTATCTGCTGACCTGTCCTTCACAATCCTTTTGTTGTCACAGCTACATCAGTGCTTTCTGAGGTGTGGCAGTGAATATTTTTGCACTAATCTTTTCTTTCAGTGACTTGGGAACAACTGAAGTAAGGCAAAGTTGGAAAAACTTAAGTGAAACAAACAAACCTGTACAATCTGAATTTGGCATTTTCTAGCAATTGTGGACATCAGGGATGTATTACCTAAGTATCATGTAATGCAACATCAGTAATACAGTTTGTCTGTCAGTCAGCTGTAGTGTGATGGACACAGCAGATTGTTCTGGGTGGCCTCCCTGTAGCAGGAATGGTTGAATTTCCTGTTCAGGCTTCTTGGCTTTTCAGCTGTCTGCAGTAGTGTTCTTGTTTCTGTTTTCCTGCTAAACACAAAAGGCTGGGTTTCAGTTATTCTGGGACTGAGTAATTTTATACCATAAATTGAAAAGCCTTGTATGGCTTCTCAAAGTCTGATATAATACCTGTATTGCTCTGTTTGCTTTTTTAAAGTCACTCCAGAGATTGTTGATATTTAATCATGATCCAGAGGATTAGGAAGACGTAGAATCCATTTTTGTAAATTTAAGTTTGAGTTAAATGGAAGCTCATTGTTTCTGTTAATATTTTGAATGGATCAGAGTTGTATGAATTTATGAATAGCAATATTTAGGTTTTCACTGCAACATATTTATGCTCCTTCCATTTTTGACACGGACTCCTCCTTTTCAGGGAGGCTAGCCCCATATGAAGCAGAGGGCTGAAGTAAGATTTTCCCTGAAGCCTGCAGTAAATTTAATAATGTCTCTGCATTTTGTGATACAGTGCAGTAGTGTTTCAAAAGAGAAGCTTAGTCATCTGGACCATATCAAGATGACAGATAATTATGTATGCTGCACTTCATTCTGCTTCCAGTAACTGTCTCTCCTCATCCCATCGCTCCGTCAGACTCGGCTGCGCAGTAACAGCAGCAAGTGTTCACGTGACAGCTCTGCTGTGAAATAGATATATTTAAAGTGCAGTTCCTGTCATAGCATGTACAAGACACTGGTTGCTTGTCAGCTGAACTGAGTGTTTGCTGTTTGTTTGTCTCTAGTTCCTTGCTGCACTCTCATTCTTTAATACCCTCAGGAGCAGGCAGATTGTAATGGCGTGTGACGTAGCTGTAGAGATACTCCAGCACAGTCACTTCTCCTAATCCCATCCTAGTAGTCCTTACCTTTTTTCCTCAATTTTTAGTTACTCCTTTCTATGTCCAATTAGAACATCACTTTGTAGGTAATTCAAAAGCTGCTGTCACAAGGGGAATCTTTTGAGGAGAATGTCCCACTCAGAATTTACATGTTAATATTTGTTCACATAGATGTCCCTGACAAGGCATTTTTCATCTCAAAAAGAACAGACATAGATACCTTGAAAGAGAGAATAACAACCCCCCAGAGGTCTGCCATATAGAATGTAAAAAAGGTTTTGCCATGGCTCCTAGGGTTTAGTATATGTGAAGGCAGCAACTAATGCCATGTAAATATTCATTTTGTTGTATGAGGATGATAATTTAGCTTTTTCTTAAATGAGTTTTTCATTCTGTAAGCACTCGGGTTGTTTGAAACTCATCCATTGGAACAGTGCTGGTTTTAGACAGTGACTGCTCAAATGGGATCACTTTTTGAGTTGTTGCCCTTTCCGCTGTTCCTTTTCTGGTGGACACTTCTGCTTCTTGTTTCTGGAGGTATTGTGTGTGTGCTAAATTTTGGCCAGTATGGAAGTTCCTAGTCAGCCTGGCCATGTCTTGCTCATGCTTAGCCCATGCACCTGGCTACTGTATTAAATTTCCTTCTGTAGTACTTAGTTCACATTGTGGCTTTATAGAAATCCAGACCATGATGTTCTTATGGCAGGGTGCTCTGCAGCTCAACCCTTCTGTATTCTTTTCTGCTTGACTTCTGCTATACTGTGTGCTCACAGAAAATACCTGGAGAGAGATGGCATTGGTCTTCCCAGTTGTTATGGTCCAGCTGATTAAAATCACACTATTCTAACAGAGGTTCTTCAAATAGTTCAGAATTCTAAAATTGTCAGGAGTCAGCTTTTTTTTCTTCAGAAATATTTAGATATCTTTTACTTGAGCTGTGGGAGTACTTAGGATTTAATCTGTTTCTAGTTGTGGAAGTTGCAGAAGTGCTCAGGAGGCTGCAGAGTGGCAGAAGCAGAACTTCTGTATTTGCTGGACAAATACAAAATCTGTATTTGCTGGACTAATCAGAGTTCATCTGTTTTTCTTGGTAGTGTTTTGAGGGGAAAACTGCTGTACAGTAAGATTTGTTTACTTGGCCTTTCCAGTGTTTATAAAGAAGACAAGATCTTATAAACTCTTCATCCTTTAATCTTAGACTGTCTTTTCACTGAAACTAGTTCAGTGGTTGTGGGAACCTAGTCTACAAAACAAGCAGTTACTTTTCATGTTTCAATAAGAGTTCTGCCAACCTTTGGGTTTTCTGTATGTAGTAACAGAGCCCTACCTGTACTACTTCAATTGCAGTGGCTTTTGCACTAGTTCTAGAAGTTTGTCTTTGTGCTTTATGAAGAGGGAACGGCAGCCCACGTGCAGAGAACAACCTGTGACACTGGGTTTATTCTATATCTATATGTGTAGGAGCCTCTTTGGTGTTTAATTGACATAGTCTGCAGTTGTACAAAGTCTGTAGGGCTTGGTGTGAAGAACAGAAGAAAGCCCCTGACCTTCATTTGGTTTAGAACGTACACCTTTAACAAACATTCGATTCCCAAGTCACACTTCAATAATGAAGTACTTGGCTGGTCTACAAGTACTGCCTCCCACTCATTAGCACTTTGGAAAATGGCTTAGTAAAGCTGCAGAAATTGGTGTGTGGGTTTCTTGTCAGTATTCACTTCAGTTGCTGAACGGATGTGGAATATTTTGTATGGCTCCTCTTATGTGAACAGGTAAGGTATGGAACTGAGTGTGCTTCTTCCTGCTGTAAAGCAACTAAGTTTCTAATGTTTGTGTAGCATCTGTCTGATGAAATTTCTCGAAGTGTTTTTGATTAGCAAAAATCAGAATGCTGGAAATACAGATTTCAAACGTCTATGAAATTTCTTTTGAGTATTTGGCCTGTTTTGGATGTTAATTTTTGCCTTCATCTTACAGGTTATGTTTGAGACATACCAGTTTTCTGGGGTGTATGTAGCCATTCAGGCTGTTCTTACTTTGTATGCTCAAGGTAGGCAAAGATAACTTAAAATATGTTCAGTTTATGAATGTGTGGCTGAGCTAAAGCAGTAATATGGTATTAATGGGTGTTTGGCTTAATTCAATGCTGTTGTAAGCTCAGCTCTAACTTATGGGCTTGCATCTTGTTTTGAGGAACTGTTGATGGGTGCCACTGTCGTTGTTATCCTCATTTCCATGAACCAGCTATGGAGATGTGCTTGTGAATGCAAAAACTTGGTTTATCAGAACTGTCATTGCTTCAGGGTGTAGTCATTTAGCCTTTGGCATTGAGTCTTAGTGACATGGGTTTGATTTTCTGATAAAGGAAAAATTTATTACCAAAAGTGCATCTCAAGAAGTTGACTAGGTGACTTTTGCACTATTTTCATTTAAAAAAAAAAAAAAAAAAAAAATAAATTGCTTGTTTTGCTGCAGATAAGCTAGAATAAATGAACCTCAGCTTGGGGGGAAAATGATGGATTCACTGAATTGACTACAGTCCATCTAGGATTTAAAGAAGTTATTCAAGCACGTCAGTTCCAATAACATGAGTCCTTACGTCTGTTTACTAGTGGCGTGGTGTAATTAGCTGCCACATAGCAGGACATAAATATCCTTGCCCATTAACATGTCACCATAGTTTCTGTGTCTAAGAGAAAAGTGATGGGGTACAAGAAGGGTGGTTCCTTCCAAAGAACCCCAAAACCTCTCTTGCACACCTGGATAATAATTTTATTTGCTGCAATCTATGCTATTACTCTTTTTTTTTCCCCTTGGTTTTTCTTTATAAGTATTTAATTTCCTTGTAAGTATTTAATTGACTAAGATACACAATATTCAATTCTGCTGTAATTGTACATGTGTGCTACTGTACAGCAAGATGGCAAAATGTGAAACAACTTAAAGCAGTCCACAGTGTTTTTACATACTATCATCCAAGACAAAGTTGAGGACCTTATATAAAAACCAACTGGCATATATATAGAACATTTGCTTTTGAAAATAAAAAAGCTCTTTAAAGCATCCTACTTATTTATATTCCATTAAAGATTAAAGTAGTGGCTAAAATTACATACAGAGACATGTCTCATTTTGGTGCTGCATTTTGTTGTTGCTGCTAAAACTCTCTTAAGACTGATAGTTTTTACCTGGAATTCTGTGTGCTTGTGTGCCTTTTAAAGGCAAAGGAGTTTGTGTATCAAAACCTAGTTCTAATGAGGAAATTCTTGGGCAGTTCCTCACGACAGTCTCAGAGATAGGTGTAGTCCCTTGTGACTGTTTCCTTCCTCACTGTGTGTGTCTGATTGCAAGACTTGTGTTTCCATAGCAGTTATTTCAGTTCATTGATAAATCTGAAGATCTGATCACAGAGCTGAACCACGATGTGGTTCTTTGGCTCATTCAAGGCAAAGAGCCAATTTGTTCACCTTCTGTTTACTGAAGTTGAGCCAATTCAACTGGCCAAACCAAGGCACCTTGCTCTTACATATCAAATGTTCCTTCCTTATTTTAATCCCTTCCCTTAGAATGTGTCTGCTTGCTTTAGGTGGCTTGTGAGAAACCATAATAAAACTGTTTTCTAACCAACTTTCACCATTAATTCTGCCTCTTATTTATTTTGTTAGTGAAGCACAGAAATTTGTTTCCTCATGCTTATGATATCTCAGTTTTGTACACCGTAGAACTGAACAGTTTTATGGTAAACTTTTCTCACCACAGTTAATTTCTTTTGTCAAAGTGGATCTGATTCAGCCTAATGCTGTTTCTATGGAGAAAAAAAAAATGATGTGTGCTGTTCTTTACCTTATGAAAGCATTGTTTTGTTTTCAGGATACCAGGCAAAATCAACGAGTCCTAGTAATTATAACAAGGTAAACTCGTGGCCTGAATGCCTCTAGGTTTCTTCGTGTTTGAGAAAGTAGTATAAGGTTGCACATACACAGCTGAAACTGAGGTGGAATTGTTGCCCCAACAAACATTTAATGATCTTAAATATTCTTTTTAATTACAGTGCAATTTAAGATGTCATAACATCTTAAAAATAAGATGTTATAAAATTGTGAATGGTAGAGTTATGAGCATCTAGGAAAAAGTAGAGGTAATACTTTTCAAAAAGATGTAGCAAAGCAGTTGTTACTATGAAAACATTAAGCTTAAAATCCATCTGAATGGAAACAATAATTTTAAATTGTGACTACTTCTCCAAAAACGGTGACTGGGAGAACAAAAGTTGTATTAAGATTACAATGAGAAAAACTTAATCTCAAACTTGCTATTATTCTGCTCTGTTTATGAAGGTGCAAATAACAGTTGCATTTTTTTCCCCCATTCTTTTAGGTTTGTTGACTGGTGTTGTTGTGGACTCTGGAGATGGTGTAACTCACATTTGCCCAGTTTATGAAGGTTTCTCTCTCCCTCATCTCACCAGACGGTTAGACATTGCTGGGAGGGACATCACTAGGTACCTCATTAAGGTAAACTGGAAAGAATTTTTAAGGATGAGGCTGTGGTACACTGGTTCAGCTTAAAATCCCTGGATAGCAAGAAACCACTATATCTTTTCCCTTTATTATTCATATGTTAATTACATAAAGAGCTCCAGTATTCTCTATATTGCTTCAGTCTGTCCTTATGAATTATGTTTCTTCATCTAAATCACATGTGATATTATTGATAATTTTCTGAGATTTAAAATTTTCTTAGTGGTAGTCTTGTAGGAAGGGATTTTTTCTCCTGTTTGGGAAGGAAAAGTTCAAAAGCTGGCTTTCTTGATACATAAAATGAAAACAAAATTATATTCTATTAGTTCTTCTAATTGTATTCCATCAGTTATAATAATCTATTTTCAGAAAGGCTTTCTCAGAGTGTGGAAAATAGTGTAGTGATTCTTCCATGGTTATTAAATCACACAGTACGTTGTATAAACTATTTGATGTTGTTTTAGTTATAAGCAACGTTCTGTGTTGAATAAATCTCATGGTTAAACTGGAATACTGGATTATTCTGATGTCAAGTCCTAAATGGAAGGATTATTTTGGTTATCTTTCACTTAACTTTGTAACAGTTATATGGGAAGTTGTAATGACAAAGGAAAATTACCACTTGGAGTAATGTGTTGCTATTCTACTTTTCTAGTAATAATGGATGCACTGTGACAGATCTGACTTAATACAAAATTTGCAGTTATAAAAGAGATATGAGCTTTAAAAAAAAAAAAAAAAAAAAATGTTTGAATGTGCCAGTCTACTGATCAGAGGAACAGTCCAGGTCTCTTTCTTTACTGCTGACCCATTATGTTCCCTCCAGCTCCTCTTGCTACGAGGGTATGCCTTCAACCACTCTGCTGATTTCGAGACTGTCCGCATGATCAAGGAGAAGCTCTGTTACGTGGGGTACAACATCGAGCAGGAGCAGAAGCTGGCACTGGAGACCACTGTACTAGTTGAATCCTACACGGTGAGTGTTTTGACATAGCTTTTCTTGTCCTAAACTTCGTCAGTTTAAATTTGAGTAGCATTTAGCTTTGATTCCTTCTGAATTTTTCTTGGCAGTAGCTCACTTCCCAAATTAGGGGAATTCCCAAATTATAGGGAGTCTGTAGAATCAGATTATTGGGTTCTGAGAAAACTCTGAAAAGCTTTTTTTTCCTCTTTTCAGATTTTCCATTAGACTTTTTTCTCATTTTTAGTTCTACTCTACTCATTGTAGATCCTTGAAATTTGTGTATTACAGCACAGGAACTTGTAGAGAAAGAAGACTTACTGTAGCATGGCTGGTTGTTTCAGCTGCATCCTTCATCAGTGACATGTGTGAGACCAATACCTGGTGACAGGAGTGGTCAACTTGCTCTTAGTGGAAACTTCCTGAGACCACACACATGGAAGAAGAGAACTTGCAGGAAAGCATTCCTCCAGCTGTAAATCAGCTTCTAAATGAATGCTGGGAGCTGTACTGCAAGGAGATGTTTGCTCTGTCAGTATTTAACGGTGGGACTGGATGATCTTAAAGATCTTTTCCAGCCTAGACAATTCTATGATTCTGTGATCAATGAATCTGGCCCCTGATGTCTCTAAATTGCATAACAATTGAATTTGTACCTTCTTTCAGCAGTACTGAATGACTTCTTGCAGTGCTGACAATTATCAACAATTTCCTGCTTTAAAACATCAGGGAACAATGTGGGTCATTTCCTCTTGGTTTGTTTAGTATCCAAGTGGCTAAAAGTAGTCTTCGGGATGGTGTTTTTTCTTAACTAGCTCCCAGATGGCAGAATTATCAAAGTCGGTGGAGAACGGTTTGAGGCACCAGAGGCTCTCTTCCAGCCTCACTTAATCAACGTGGAGGGGGTCGGTGTGGCTGAATTGCTGTTTAACACCATCCAGGCCGCTGACATTGATACCAGGTAAGATCAGAGCACTTAAAATCCTCTGTCAGGGTGCAGGGTTGTCACAAGAAATGCATTAAAATAAAATAACATCTTTTTCTTTAGACACTGCTACATGCACTGCTGGGGGAAGGGGTTTATACTGGGAGTGAGGCTCAGTTGGAGATCTTGGAGCTTTCCAAGTTATCTGGAAACTTGACTAGTTGGGTATGAGTGAGCAAGGGTAAAAGCTTCAATGCTAAATATTTTTTTACTGCTTTCTGGGATGCCCAGCAAAGCATGAGCAAGTTTGCCAAGCTCATGTAAAGTCTGTCCTTCAGTAGTGACTGTTTTTTAGATTTGTATTGTATTTGTACAGTTGCGTGTACCCTGTATGTGCAGGTACCTACTTGTACTATAGCATATACTATACCACACTAGAAAGGTCTTTTGTTTTTTTCTTTAATTTGGTCAGGTCTGAATTCTACAAGCACATTGTGCTGTCTGGAGGGTCTACCATGTACCCGGGGCTGCCTTCACGGCTGGAGAGGGAACTTAAACAGCTCTACCTGGAACGAGTTCTGAAAGGAGATGTGGAAAAACTCTCGGTAGGTACAGACTGGCTGGTTTATTTGTGTGGGGCTGAGGTTTATCCTGAATCCCCACTAGAGGGAACCAAGTAGTCAGAAATGATAGACGCTCAGGTGCCTTGTGTGTACATACTTGCAATACCAAGTAATTCCTGAAGTCTTGGGCTAGTTTGACTGTAAAATGGACTGATAAGTGCTAGGGGACAACTTGTAACAGAGGTTAAATTAAACTAATGAGGTTTTGTGTCTTAAAGTCATCATTGAGCAAAAACTATTTTAGTTTTTTAATCTGTGAAAGATTTGGTTCATGCTGTAAGTCGAACACTGAAGAGAGGCTGGAGTCAACAGCCACACACAGCCTACAGCAGAGGTAACACTGCATTCTCGTGCTGTCTGCTTTTCAAGAGGATATTTACAGAGAAAATTCCTTTGAATGGATTTGTTAATGCTGAGCTGAATTGAACTTCCCTGGTTCTCCATAAAGTGTTCTCCAGAGATCTTTTGCAGCTATATAGAATGGCTGCAGGTTGTTTAAAGTCTAAGACAATATTTCACACATAGCTTTGCATTACTCAGTTTTGCTTTTGAAGTTAGAACTTCAGCATTGAAGAATTTAAGGGAATATTAATTAGATGAGCTGGTCTAGATTGTTTAAATTAAAAATCTGTTCCATCTGCCCTTCTGAAAGTTGATATAATTCTCAAATATTTTGTGATTTGATGACCTGGTAACTTCTAATAATTTTGGCCATTGCCGCTTAGAAAATATTTCACTCTTTACTGTATTCATGAAATGCAAAAAATATGGTCTTTGATTTTGTATCCTGACTCCTGGGCTTTTTATGGATACACTGCAAGTATGGTTTTGGGGAAAGTGTCAATAGCTGTTTCTAATTTCCAATGCAAAGTAGTTATTTGACTTTGGTTGCGCAAGCTGGAAGCTCACGCGGCGTGCCCGCTGCTAGCATTTCAGTTTTCTGGTTGCATTTTTCCCACTAAACCGTTTCCATTTCATTGTTCTGGTGGAAAGCGTGATTTTATTTTGAAAGGCTTTGTTTCAAGAATCCCAGTAACAGTTTCTTTTCTTTTTCTTAGAAATTTAAGATCCGAATTGAAGATCCACCTCGTCGAAAGCACATGGTGTTTTTGGGTGGTGCAGTTCTAGCAGACATCATGAAAGACAAAGACAACTTCTGGATGACCCGACAAGAATACCAAGAGAAGGGAGTGCGTGTGCTGGAGAAGCTTGGTGTGACTGTTCGATAAACCCCAAAGCTTGTTCCCATCACATGTCTAAAGCTTTTTTTCTTTCATTGCCAATCTCTGAACTCACTCAGCTACATGCTATGGAAGGGCCCGTCTGTGGCCTTTTGACCCAAAGGTCAGGTTTTGTTCTGGTTTCTTGGGGTAGCTTTTGTTAAATGTTTCTTAATGTGGCTAAATTTGACTATTAAATTTGACCACTTCCCTGCCAACAAAACAGAGCAAGAGCAGCCTGTCTACTTCATTGTTCCTTCCCAGTAGGCAATTGGGTAATTCTGGTAGGCTTTTTCTTCTGGGTTTATTGCTATAGTACTGCTAGCTTTTGTCTCTAGCTCACAAGGGGTTGTGTGCCTTTTTTAGCATAAGAAAACCTTTAAACAGGAGTTTTTGCTGTTGGATCATTGTGGTGGTTCTCTTCGATACTCTTTGCCTCTCTCTCCATTAAGATTACTTTTTTTTTCCCCATTCTTTCCTGCAGTTAGGAATTTTGATTCAACATTGTTAGAAACTAGTTTAACTGGGTGGAATGGCTTCAATGCACTGTTTCGATGTCGTGTGGTTCCATACGCACTGCTGCCTAAGCTGGCTTTTGAGGTGGTTTATCCTTAAAGGGTGGTGGTGGGGCTTTCATACTGTATTTCTCTAAGTGGGCATGTGCACAGTTGCCACAAACTGGAGAAACACCTGGTGTTCTGGCAAATGTAAATTTGTGGCCTTAGGTGTCGTCTTCTGGTGGGAGAAGACAGGCTTGAGCTGTGTTGCTTTGCTGTTAAGGGACAGCTGGGGGTCAGTCTGACCAAAAATGCCTCTTTTTATAGCTAAATTTTGGTACTGTGTTGTATCAGCATAGGGAGCAAGAATGTTAAATTAGCTATTCTGTAATTGTTGAATAACTTAGATACGCTGAGACAGGAGCCTCTAAACTTCTGAAGAGATTTAATACTTTCAGAAATGCTTGTGATAACTGTAACTATAGATATTAAAACCCCCAGAACTAAGTTTCAAAAGTCTGATGTTTTAAGTGCTTGTATGTACATCAGAAGCACTTCGATTGAACTGTACAAGTATATTAACCTAGTGCCAAGTAGTTACTGCAAATGAATATTTCAATGACCAGTGTTTATTGCACCAAGCAGATATTTATAAACAACCACTGGCAGTAGGTTATAAAGAATGACCTATATTGGTTCCAGTTAAAAATAACATTGGAATATGAGATAATGTTGGTTGGTAAATATCCACAATTCATTTTGTCCAGTCTTGATTTTTTTGATACTTAATGTGGGATGGGGAAGGAAGTGAAAACCAGTGATGAAAATGCTGTTTCCAGAAAGAACATTAAAGCTGAGTTGTTCTGAAAACTAGAAGTTGTCACTAGTAATTATCAGCCACCTTCTCTGAGTATAGTTTACCTGTACTTTTCTTCCTACTAGCAGACTGGTAACTATCTTTGCAATAAATCTGCCTTACATAAAGCATAGCAAAAACTGCTTGCATAGGAATTCCAGTTAGACCTAGCTCTGCTTTGCTTTTCATGGAAATGTTATATCACTTCTTACTGGTTTTCCAAGCCTACCATAACATTTAAGCATAAGGAAGTTAAGATGTGCTTTTGACTTCCAAACCTTGGAATGTACGAGATATGCTTTCATAGACTTGCCATTTGTCTACATTTTTACATTAACAATGACCCCAAGAACATGGAAATATTAAACTCCCTTGGATTCTTAAAATTTGCTTTCCTTCTAAATCGAGCAGACAGCTTCCTTTTGGCTGAGCGAGCCAAATGGGCAGAAACTATGTCTGCATTTCTTTAATAACAAGACAGTCACTATAGTATTGCTAGTAATGACCATTTAATTATAGGTGGGTGGGGTTTTTTGCAGCTATATTTACTCTTAACTTGAACAATATGAATTTACAGGCATGCCGGTCATGCCTCAGTGCATGCACTAAAGCAGTTACTAGATTTTTGGGGACGTGAATGTAAGGGGTACTCTGAATTCCTGTAGTCTTCTGAACATTTTAATACACCAGATTTAAAAATGCTGTGAGCTTGCTTTACAGCTATGGTTTCTCATGTGACTGTCTCTGGGCTTTTCAGACAGCGTTGAGAATCATGGAAATAAACCAAAGAACGACTTAAAAACCTTTTTTTGAATGACAATCTGTCATGTGATTTTTCAAATCTAGACCTTGACCCCACAGCCCCTTTTCTAAACCATCTTCTCCCCTCCTCATTGGCATTGGGTAGGTAACGTGCATGTTTGAGCAAAGGTTTTGGAATTTGGCCCTTTCACACTTGAGAACTGAACAGCACCATGAGTAATAAATGTCAGCTGATTGTGCAGAATCTTGGGTTTCCCTGGAAACCGTGTATATATTTAAAAAAAAAAGAGGCAAGTAGCAGTTTAAATTGCAGCTATCGTGGATCCAGCAGAACTCGTTTGGGATCCAGATACCGAGTGGGGTGTTCCAGTCGTGCTCGCTGTGGGTCTCCATGGGTGTGTGTGCACACGGGTGTGTTCTCTGGGCTGACAGCCACAACACTGCCACAAACACAATCTGGGCTTAAAGTGTGGGTTCCTTTTTTTTTTTTTTTTTTTTGAAGACCAAATAACTAGCGTTGTATTTGCAATATGCTTCAGCTCTTATAAAATTAGAATAGAAGATGCTGCATCAGTTGTAAGTTTTTTGGGAACATCCTATTTTTAATGTTAAGCTGCTTCAAACCCCCCCTTCCCTCCCCCCAGTGTTCTAGGATGTTAACCAATGTAACACAAATGGCTTTTTATACAGTTCTGAATAATGTTAACACACAAGACTGGTTGAGACCGTGAATGGAAATAAACATCTATTTAAATTGACAGGTCTTTTCAATACAGAAATAAAATCAGATTTTTTTTTCAAAGTAGATTATGTTTGCTTTGTTTCCTTTGGGAAATCACAGTTCTGTCAGTTTTTCTCTAACTTAACTTCCATCACAAAACCGTCGTGGGGCTGCTTATGCTGAGGAAATCTGACATGACAAAGTAACACATTCCCTATTGATTGCTGTCAGAGAGAGAAAAGCACCCCTGCTCCAGTCTCTAGCCAAGGCTCTACTCCCTCCATCCTGATTTATTTTAAAATGAAATTAAAATCCTTCTCATCAGGCAGCATAAGAACTGCAAAATGGGAGAAGCCCTCAGCTTGTATTGATTTCAGCACCCCTGGCTAAGCTCAGAAGCCACGTGATGGATGTTTAGGAATGATGGATGTTTAGGAAAAATCTCCTTGGCGTTGCGACCTCATGTGCAACTTCACCTTCATCCCTCATTTTAACTGGTAGAAGGAACTGTATGAGGGGTTAGTGTGTACCATTTAGAAAGATGTACTGCTTTGAAGCAGCTCTTGCACCTGAAATGTTGTAATTCTCAGCTTGCCCTGTGGATTAGCGGCTGGTCCACTAATCACGATGCATTTATCTGGCTTTTGAAAGGAGCTCAACCAAGCCTCTTTCCCCCAGCTTACTTTACCTGCTGATCTGCTGTAGGTACATTCCCCACGAGGGCAGTGGATTTGGTTTTCTTCAAGTGAACCAGTATGTACAGTTTGACTCTGGGTGCACCTGTCTCAGGGACTAGGTCAAACACACGCCAGCTTAGGTACAGGTAGACAGGATTTTGCTAGCAAAAAAAACCCCACCCCTAAACCCCAAATCTTTATTCCATCACTGTGCATTCTTGGGGAAAAAAAAAATAAATCAGGCTTTACTTCTGTTCGGTAATAAGTCACATTCCCTACTCCTCCCCTTTGGCTTGCTTTGCCTGACATGGCTTTTGTGTGCAGAGGACTAAATACAGCTCAGCCGACATTTGCTAGTCAACTTTTTCAATAGTGAATTCTTCCCTGCGGGCACTTCATCTGTTTTCCACAAACAAGCTGTTTCAGTACTGTGAAAAATCAAGTTTGGGTGGTTTTGTTTTTGTTTTTTTTTGTTTGGTTTCTTTTTTTTTTTTAAATCCAAATATATCTCTTCCTGTGTTCTAGCAATCAGGAGAACAGTTGTAGAAAAAATTGTCTTGGATGATTTCAGCAAACATTAAAATATAAATGAAAATTTTCCTTTACTTGAGCCCTGCCACATGATACTTGTTCATCTCTGCTGGGTTGGTTTGTTGTCCTGGTGGTATAGGGGCACTGCCACTTTGCCATTATAGGCTTAAGAAAAAAAAAAAATCTTCCATTCAGCACAGGCTGCTAATTTTGCCTCTTACCTTCACTGCATTGCAATGTTAAGATGAGCTTTAAGTAACATCCTCCAGGTAAACAGCTTACCTTTCTGTAACCTGCTGTTGCAGCCTGTTGTCCCAGCTCAGAACTGCTGTGAACAAGATGGCAGTGCACATCTGCTTGTCGCCCAGACAGCTGCTGGAGAAGGGCTTCTTGCTTTCCTCATGCCTTGTGCTGAGTTCTGCTCTAGTGCTGCTGAAACGAGGAGGAGAAATTCAGGGTGTACAGGAAGTCTGGGACTTTCCTTCTCAATTATTTTTTTCCCCCCCATTTGAAAGCAATTTCTTAACATTGAAAATTACGGAAATGGTTTCTATTCTGGGTGATGAGTAAAGTATATTAAGAGTCTTGGCAGAGACTTGAGATGATGCTAAAGGGCACCTTTCAACCACAGAACTTGTGTATCTTTCCATACCTTTTAAAAAAAAAAATCTCTGTTCCCCAAAGCCTAGGAATGCTAATTAAATTGTAGCTGCAGGAATAATGACAGATATGGGCCCCTTGCCTACACCTTTTCATCACCGCACCCATCTCCCATCTGTTTTTTGTTTGCCCTAAAGCTTAAGTGGTTTCAAGATCCTCCTCTTGCACGCATGTTCTCACCATGTGCCCATTTTAAATCTCTCCAGGTATTTTAACGAATTAATTAATTGCCAGTTGCTGACCTCAACACAAGTACATCTTGTAAGTCCTGACTTGTATCGGGCGCTTTTCTTGGTGCAGCAGCCCTTCTGGAGCCTGCTCCAGATCTAAACCTTTCTGTTGTCCACTACTTTTCTGTTCTAAACCACCCCATGTAACCCTGATGTTGGCTTTCCCTGCCAAAGCAGGAAAGGCAAGGGTGGCATTAAAGATGTGAAAGGCAGTATTTTGGGAAGCACCCAGCCACATAATCTCCTTGGAATATTTTAAGGTTTTCCCATTGTAGTGGATGTCAGCACTACTTTAAACTACTATGGGGCAAGTGCAGTAAGAGCAGGTGGGATTTACAGTAGCAGCTGTAACAGTGGTAGGTGGTCCCCTCTAAGAAAGTCTTCTTGTAAAGGGGGTGCCCAGGCTTCCTGTAAATGTTCCTGGGTAATAACCGGGAATATGAGCCTTTGAAACATGGTCAGTGCTGGGATCCACGCAGTACCACGTGAGAACAAAACACTATAATGATAATTGCTCATTATCTAATTATACAAGAACTTACAGCCCTGGAGGGTGAACAACTAATTAAATGATTATCCACTTTTAAAATGGCTACAAAGCAATGAGGAATATTCATTCTTTTGGCTCTTGTTCCAGTCCTGCCAGCAAAGTCACGTGTTTCTGGGAAGATGGGTGAGGCAGTCCAGGACAGACAGAGCTCTCCCATCCTGCTGCTCTGAATGCTACAATGGGGATTGAGGCAGGGAACTTGCTTTTAGGAGAGCAGATCACATACTCAAAAGCAACTCAGCTTTTGAGCTGTGACTCAGGATTAAGAGGTTCCCTGATCCAGGTTATCCAGGAAGGCAGCCCATGCTGGCCTTCAGCGGCGATCAGCAGGACAGCACGCTTCTCCTGGTGCCACAGAGGTGCTCCAGCAAGCATCCTGATACCTGCCCCACCACAAAAGCCCCTCAACCGTAGCCACCAAACACAGAAAGCAGAATTTGTGCCCTTTCCAAACCCAGAGGCTCCTGATTTTAATCAGAGAAGCGTAACTGCAACTGGGAATGAGTTTCCAGCGAGCGCAGGGTCACCCTGGCAGTTTCTGGGGAGCAGCTGATGTGCTCCTGTCCACAGCCTTGCAGCAACAGGGGTGGGTACATTTTTGGGTTGCCGTTGATTACAGAGCTGTTAGCTGCATGTCTTTTATCATTCAAACTGGCTTTTCCCCCAAATACACGGTGCAAGTTTCTGCTGTTAAAGTGGAGGGGATAGTAACGTGGGAGGTAAGTCGGTCCCTTATAAATCAGAACACTTGCTATTTTTGGAGGTTTTCATGAGGAATGGAGTGGGTCAGAAGGAAGTGAGTCTTTTCTTTTTTTTTTTTTTTTCATTCCCGTCACTACTTGACATTGTAACACAGTTGTTGCTTTCAAGAATATGCA